TTAATGATTTACAAGTTTATTCCTATTATTTATAAAATATAGGTTTGCAATGTGCTGGTGTGGAATGTTATCATCGACTAAAAACTTTAAATCTTTGTATTAAATTGATCGAAAACAAACTATAAATTGGTTTAGGCTATATAGAATGTTTCTAGTAAGCAGCAACTAATTTTTATTATGGAACCGAAAGACCCTTTTAAGAAGGTTCAAAATTAAAATAAAATATGTACCAAGTAAATGTAGTAGTATTTTTTAATTTTTTAATTTATATTGAAAATGGTAACATAAAAGGTTTTCTGTCTAACGACTCATAGTCTCGGCTGACAAAATGTAAAAAAATATCGAACATAATATTCCTGGGCCCTATTTTGCACTCCCCAGAATAAATTTAGTTGTAGCAAATGATATTATCAAATAAGATGTCAAATCACAAGCAAAATCTCGTGACTACAGTACTAATGATTGCCTGTTTGGAAAAGTATCTTTGTTTGTAAATATTTATATGCATAGTTATATTTAAATGCGCGAGTGTAATGTTAAGTATAAACAAAATCCGCCCATTATGTATATACGTTTAGTTACCGACCCTAGTAGATAGGCAATTTGTTATTGTTTTATGTTTTACCGTACGAGAGAGAAAATCAATATTAGGATAAATGGTCCAGCTCCTTTCTGGTTACGTAGGTACCTAAAAAGTATTTTAGTTTTTGGTTAAGTAATTAATTATTGTAACAGTGATTTTCTTGTGATAGTACCTAATTTAGATTGTGGATTAAAGTTTTTGTATATAATTGCTGCGTTTGAGAATCCACATCGGATGCATCTGAGATGTAAAAAATCTTTGATCACGTGATTCAGTATACGTAAATGTAATGGGACAGATGTGTCCGATGTGAATAAAAAAACGCTCGAGATGTAAAAAATGCATCCGATGTGGATTCTCAAACGCAGCAAATTTCGCTGTTTAATAATAAACGTAGTCAAAACCGGAGCACGTGGTTTTTCTGGAAAGTATTTTTAAAATCACAAGCAAAATCTCATGACTACTGTACTAATGATTGCCGAAAATTAACTAATTCATATTTTATGCCATATCTTTCTTAATAAGGACTGTCAGAACCATATTTACCTTAACTTGAATTTTTTTTAATCGTTTTTTGTATATAATCATCTCTAAAAATGTATGATTGAAATATCGTGCGAACTATTTGTTCGATCAATAAAAAACTTGCACCGGTCCTGTTCGCGCCAGCACCGTTATACGCATGAGCTCCGACACACTATTTTCTTCTTATGGTTTCATTTTTGATATATGGAATCGGCTTTCTATACTATTTCTATGCTGTCAATACGGGGACCTACTCGTTCACTCTGAAGTCCGATGGTTAAGTAGAGGACGGGTGCTAAAACGTTTTAATGGCATAGTTCAATTTGTCAAACAACGCGATGAACCGACTCCGGAACTAGAAAATTCAATCTGGCTTAGAGATTTTGGTTTTCTCGTGGACATTACAGAGAAATTAAACGAACTTAATTTGCAGCTTCAGGGGAGAGACAAAGAACTAGCGAAAATGATTTTTGATATAAAAGCATTTATCAAAAAGCTGGAGTTTTGAGAACAAAACCTAATTAACAGAGATGCCAAGCATTTTCCTATTCTTTCAGAAAAAATATCTTAAAATCCATTAGAACCTTATGACAGCAAATATCATGTAGAAATAGTTTCTACCCTGAAGAATAACTTCAAAAATCGTTTTAAGGATTTCAACGAAATGACTTTAGTAGCGCAGTTTGTTGTTTCACCCTTTATGGAAATTGATATCCAACAGTTTGCAACTTGTGTTATGCAGAACTTTGGCGAAGACATCGCTGCAACAGAAATGGAAGTAATTGAGTTTCAAAATGATTTAGCCTTAAAATCGTTAGTCTCAAGTACCAAATGTATCTGGCCTATTTGTAAGTAAAGACAAATATTCAGTTCTATGCCGTGTTGCCTTGAAAGTGAAAGCATTATTCAGTTCAACCTATTTGTGTAAATCTTCTTTTTCCAATATGAAGTTTATTAAGAACAAATATCGCAATCGACTTACAGATGAACATTTGGATAATTGTATTCGAATGGCTGTATCAAATTATACTGCATTAAAAAAATTATCGATGAGTCTGAGTGTCAGCCTTCTCATTGAACGTGCTTTTCTATTTTTCAATGTTTATGTTCATGATAGTGTGTTACTTTTTTGTTGTTAATATTAACTATTTTTAAATCTTACGTGACATGCCTTTGTGGCTGGATAAAAGTTTGTGTTTATTTTTCAAACACCTTCGTTTGGTAGGTAGGAATGTAGCTATGAACAAATACGTACTAGTAATATTAGTTATTTTATTATTAGTTTATTATTAGTACCTGTGTATTACCAGTTAAATAGTAAAATAAATACATATAATGATAAATTAACTGTGGATTATTTCATTTACGTTGCGTTACGTGGCTTCCGTGTGGGTAGCTCGCTGTTTATTCCAAAATTAACAAAGTAGCTCAACACATTGAGAGGTTGGCGACCACTGCTATATAACATAGACAAACCATATATTAGAAGAATGGAAAAAAGATGAATAAACAGAATCTAAAATAATATACTGGGGTTATCATTAAAAAAAACATATATTTGGTTCGTACACGAGCTATGCAACACCCTGTATACTTTCCAATAATTTTAAAATGTTAACCTCAAACCTGTCCATAATTTTCTTAATACACTTTTTTAATCTCTTTCAACAAGGAAGATATCGAACTTTTCCACAAGATTGGTCCACCCTGTATGTGCGAGAGGTTTTGCGATAATGGATTTAACTATTTTAATGACTTTAGCTGTTATTTTATCCATTCCTGAAGAGGCATTGTTTTTAAGACCCGAAATTAGTTCTTCAACTTCCAAATATTCTGTTGATTCTAGGAACATTGACTTGTTGTTCCATTTGTCTGGTATTTTATTAGTTAGGTTAAGGTTTTTGATTTTATTTGATATTTTTTCACCTATTTCTATAAAAAAAATTATTGAAATAATTTGCCATTTGTTTTTGATCTTCTATAATATTCCCTTCTATTTGAATTTTGTGTACAATATTTTTTTTTGAGGCATATTTGTTACTTCATTTATTATTTCCCAGGTTTTTTATGGACTGAATTCATTTAGTTTATTTATATAATAATTATTTTTTGTTGATTTTTACTTTCCTATCTGTATACAGATATAAGGAAAGTATAGGAATCATGATTTTTTTCGACCTCGAGTTTTCGACGGATTTTTACGTTTTGAGGTCCCCTGAATCCGTTTTGACTATTTTCGCGATGATGTCTGTCTGTCTGTGTGTGTGTGTGTCTGTGTGTGTGTGTGTGTGTGTGTGTGTGTGTGTGTGTGTGTGTGTGTGTATGTGTGTGTGTGTGTGTTTGTATAACGCATAACTCATGAACCGATACACAAAAAAACACCAAATTTTAAACTTAAGCTTTGTTTCAGCGTCCAATGAGCTGATTAGATTTTGGGCAGAGTCGGAACATCTGGGGGGTACTTTATAGGTGGTCATTTTTATATTTTATGGAATATATCTGTTATTTACGTTTGGAGAAGAAAATTCTTCAAATAAAAGTTACTTCTAATATAATTATCTATAATTTTTGTTTTATGCAAAATTTTCCTAAAATGGTCCGTATTCGAGAAATTTGAGAAAATGTAAAAAAAATAATTTTTTATAAAAATTGTTCAAATAAAAGTTGTTTGTAATATAATTCTCTATAATTTTTATTCTATACATAATTTCTTTAAAATGGACCGTATTCGAGATATTTGAGAAAATGTGTAAATTTCGAATTTTGAAGAAAACTCAAAAACGGATAAAGAAAAAAACATTAAATTTTAAACTTAAGGTTTATTTCGGCCTGACGTGAAATGATTAGATTTTGGACAAAGTCGGAACATCTGGGGGGGGGGGGGGGGGGTACTTTATAGAAGGCCGTTTTTATATTTTATGGAATATATCTGTTATTTATGTTTGGAGAAGAAAATTGTTCAATTAAAAGTTACTTCAAATATTATTATCTATAATTTTTGTGTTTTGTCAAAATTTCCTGAAATGATCCGTATTCGAGAAATTTGACAAAATGGGCAAAATTCTGATTTTTATCAAAATTGTTGAAATAAAAGTTGTTTGCGATATTAATCTCTATAATTTTTGTTTATACATGATTTTTCTAAAATGGACCGTAATGGAAAAGTGCAAAATTTAAATTTTTCAGTATTTTAATTTTCAATGAATATCTATAGAAAAATGTTTCGATGTAAATGTATGTGGAAAATGTATATATTTAGTTTATCCTCTAAACATTTATGGAGGTGCTGCAATAGGTTGTACAAAATAACCGGAAAAAGCCTGTAATAACTAGATAGGAAAGTCATGTGTTGGACACATCAGATTTTTTTAGACTTTCTCCATACGAAAGGAAATTTCCCGAAACAGATAATATTAATAATAAATAATATTAATAAATCGTCTTTATTTTAACAAATATTACACAAATATTCTTTTTATCTCTTAACCTTTCCAGTTAACAAAAAATAAAAAAATAATAAAAAATTAAAAATACAAAATATAGAAAGGGAGAAACCACAAAAATTAAAAAAAAATGTATACAGAATCATTAACCTTGTTTAATTACTTTATTTTTTTGCGAAACGTATTTAATGAAACAGTAGGGTCCGTTTTAAAATTATTGTAAAGCAAAAGATAAATCCGTTGTCAAAAAAAAGTTGGTCTAGCCGGAAAATTGATAGAAAACCACTTTCCTGAAGAAAAATTTTAAAATTTCAGACATTATTCGACAAAGAAAAGTTAATGTTTTCATATTAGTGAAATTCGATGGGTTATTTCGAACCTATTGATTATTATCGTCATGTAAATTGGTAGTAAAATATCAGTTTTTCTGACAATATTTTATGTTGTAGTTCAGAAGATACAATCGCAGATGAATTGGAAAAAACAAATCCTATATATCTGCAAAAGTCAAAGAGCAACAATATTTTACAAAAACGAATTAAAGAAGCAGAACGAGATTTATTGGAAATTTCCATATCCAATAACACCAAAGAAGTAGCTAGACGAGAGGCCGAAAAAAGAAACGCGCAAAAATTAATAGAAACATTGGAAAACGATGCGAATCGTGCTCAAGCGAAATTCGATGAAATCGTACAAAAATGGGACGATATTCAAATATTAAAAGACCCTCTTGCTACGCACCGTGCTATAGAAGGAATGAAAGAACAATGCGATGAATTAATCGAACAAAGAAATCGAACTATAGCTACATTGAAAACAGAAATTGAGAGATCCGAAAAAGCATATAATAACTACCAAAGAAAAAATTTCGACGAAGTACAACACGTGTTTAAAAAAATCAATAATTATATTGCAGCCATGAGAACCATGTTTAGTATTCAATTCAGTATAGTCCATGCTACTTTCAACAGCGCAACAAACAATCAAATACAAAATAAGTAAGTCTTTTCACTTTTTATTAAAAAAAAGCGTATTTTTATAAATATTGTACACAAATGAAATCCTTATGAAAAAGTGGAATCTATTAAAGAAAGCCGCGAAAAAATATAATGGCGGACTTTTAAATACTAAATATCCAACAACCCGCCAATGCTGGTATAATATAATACATTTAGTCCACTGTGATAAGCCAAATAAACTTCTAAATAGGAAATTTAACTTAAATGCCATAGTTTTGATAACAGTGTTGGCATGATCTATGAATCTCATCTGCTTGTCAATTATTACCCCTAAGTATTTGAATTTTTCTACTAACTGTATAGAATTTCCTCTAATTGTTATGTTATATTGTTTATCAACAAACTGTGTATAGTTATAGCACAACTTATACAATACAGCTCCACAACTCCGTGTCGGCGTCTTTGATCTGGCGGTCGAGAACCAAGCAAGACGGAATGGTGCTATCTCTGTTAGATTCGAGGGAAAAGTCGGGCCCGGATTAAACAATTTTTTTATTATTGAAAAAATTGAAAACCTTGACGTAATAAGGTTGGTTACATGCCATATTAAGTAAGTTTTGGGAAATTAAATTTTTAATTTGTTTTAAATCTGTCAAATATAATTAGAAACATTATTTAAATATAAATATTACGAAAAATAGCACATCTTTCGGATTAGAGGTAAAATAATTTGTATGTGGCTAGTAAAACCCTCGTTAACAAATGTTTTGAGCTAAAACAGTCACTTCACGACAAATTGTGACTTGGATCCTTTTTACACCAAGGGCTTCAATTGTTAAAGAATTGTGTCACGCTCGTGGATGCAAATCAAGTGGTACCCCGTGTCTCTGGCAAGTGTTACTCTTCGCGCAAAGGGTTTATACCTAGATAAACGAATGCTTCGACTGAGGTCTGGGAACTCTATGGTATTTTGGAATTGTAAAGAATTTGTTCTTTTATTTTAACAATATTGGTTATATTTAGATGTATTCTTATTAATTGAAATACAGATTTGTAGAAGTAATACTTTGACAGTTTTTATTAATATAATATATTCAATTTTTATCTGACCATACCGAAGTAGGGAATTTTGAAACTTTATAGTAATGTGAAATTTGAATTACAATATTACACGATATTACATAATTAGTACTTATTTTAGGTAGGTACTAAATTTGTACTTGGAGAAAGTAATATCGATTTTTATAAGAAAACTTGAAAAGTAAATTAATTTAGTTCCTAGTTCTGATGTAAAACTTAAGTTTTGGTTTAAACTTTAAACCAAGAAAACAAATAAATTATAGTTTGTTCAACAAAGGTGGATATGATAGCAATATCACACAAAGACGAAGTTTGAGCACGACGTCGTATGCGGAGTACTCAATCGTCTGATTGTGATATGAACAATCCACTCGATATGGTCAGTATATTTTTTCTACGACCCACTAACGAAAATCTACAAATTTAAAAAATTATTTTAGGTTATTTAGACAAAATAACTAATTTTAAAATAATTTACGAAGTTGAGTAATTTATAAAATAAAATTAACATGAAAAATTAATTAGTCCTCGGCCTAGATTCGATCCCGGGCTTTTCGCGTGGAAGGCAGATGCTCTGTCCTCATCTTCACCGAAACTTTCAGGACTTTAGTTTTAATACTCGTAATTAAATTAGTATCATGTAGTTTGATTAAAATTTATTTTTTTTTAAATGTGGACACAATAAAAACAAAAATGCTATTATTTATCGAGTCTACACAAAAATTTTAATGTATATTTAATATTAATAACTAAAATATATATTGACAATTAGTTTAACAGAATTGTCACTTATTTAAAAAAATTTAAATAATAGGAGTTGGGTGACCAAAATATGAACTGTGATTTGTAGATTTAATTTTGTTAAAGTGTTCTCACTACCTAAAATGGATATGAAATATATTCGTAGTTGAACGCAATAACATACTTTTTCGTTTTGTAGTATGTGCATAGATTGGCTAATATCCATGCACAGATTACAAAACGAAAAAGTATGCTATTGCCTTCAATTGAACGAATATATTTCATATCCATTCTAGGTAGTGAGAACACTGCAAAAAAAAATAAATTCGCCAATCACCGTTCATATTTTGATCAACCGACTGCTATTATTTTTAAAATTTTAAATAAATGACAATTCTGTCAAACTAATTGTCAGTATATTTTTTAGTTATTGAAATTAAACATACAATAAAATAAGTTATTCTTTTGGAAAACGTTAGCATGGATGACTAAAGGGTATTGGGTTAATTAATTCTAAAAGTGTGGTACAAATGTTATTTTTTGTAGCCAATTCTTCAAAATTATTTTGAAATATCTTTTCAATATTGAATATTAGTTCTACAAATTCATCATTTGACAGTTGCAGATTTCCAAATGTATCTGGATTGGCGTTATCATATGCCTTTAAAAAGCAATAAAAAGAAAAATCATCTAATTCAACGTGATCTTTGTTATATTTAAGACAGGTATCGCAGAGGAGTGGATCCGCAAGGCTTTTATTAAAAGGTAACCACACACATACCTGATAAAATTTTTCTGTATCAATTCCTCTTTACAATAATTTAGGGAGTTAATAATTTTATCATAAAATAAAATACAAGGTGTTCCATTTAAAAAACATACATTTTAATTTGCCAGGCAAAAACGTGACACCCTGTATATCCAAAGATATTTTTAAAATATGTAGGTATTTTTCATATCCATATAACTTTTATTTAAAACTTTCTTGCGTGTCTACAACAAAATAATGAACAATAACGCACTAATGGTATACCCTGTATAAATTATATTTTTAACAATGAAAATTTCTTATAATGTGGTACTTATCGGTTTGGGTCCTTGGGAAAACTAAAGAATGTTTTCTTGCAGGTATAACCCTTATTAAAACAGCTTTTGACTGCACAAACAGAATGATGTTTTTTTGTTTCACTCATTCTACTCATAGCTAAAGAGTCACCAAAATAATAACAGTACCTTTAACTCAAACAAAATCAACGAAATTATAGGCTCCACGAAATTATACAATCAACGAAATTATAGGCTCCACGAAATTATACAATCAACGAAATTATACGCACGACTCAACACCTTACCTAAGTACGCTTCTGAACACCAAAACCGTCTTTTCCCTTCGAAGGCGGAGCTTAAGCGATGCGCGACGAAATCGACGCAAACCGTTGCCGCCAAGAGAGTGTTTTAGCTGTATTGTTAAGCTGTGGTTATAGTTGCTGCTTATCAGCATACATTTGTGTTAATTTTCAACAAATTATTGCAACACCATTTGTAAACATGTTGCAGTGTTTCATTAACAACTCTTACCAAGTTATCTGAATCCTTACAAGAAAAATATATTAGGACACCATCATCAAACAGGGAAATGTCACATTGACCCTTGAAATCAACAATGTCATTGATATACACTAAAAACAACAGGGGACCTAATATACTTCCCTGCGGAACACCTCTGATATAGTTAATTTTCTCTTTCAAAATGTTATTGACTTTTAACTTTTGTTTCCTCTTACTTAGATAATCCACACACCACTCCAATGCTTGCTGTACTATACCCATACTTTTCAATTTTTTTATCAAACGGTTTTGATCAACATTCGCGAATACCCTTTGAAGATCTATAAAAATGCCAATGTTAGATAGTTTTATCAAATTTATATTTCCAATCATATAAAACACACTGGATAGCTGATTCACAGTTATGTTTACTTCTGAAGCCCGATTGTATTCTACTAATAAGTTTATTTTGTCCTAAAAATTAACAATTTGTTCATAAACGACCTTCTCAATGATTTTTTCGATACAACTTAACATACTAATGCCTTAAATATGTAGCTTTATTTGCTTTTTTTGTATTTGGAACAGGCACTACCGTAGCAATTTTTAGAGCATTAGGTATTTTTGAAATTTCTAATGACGAATTTATCAAAGTGGTTCTGAGAGGTTGGTAAAACAGTTTTTTAAAATATTGATGTTAATGTCATCTGTGCTACTTTTATTTTTCATTGCAAAAAGACTGTTTCCTAAACAATCCACCGTACACAAGACTCGTATCTCTATCTTTCTCAGTCATAGCTTACTGTAGAAACATTTCTTGCGCATTATTCTTTTACCTTACTCACTGTTTTTATATATTTTAACTCTTTCCGATCTTTAAGATATGATTTCAACCAGCCTAATGATTATGATTATTATGACGATGATGATGATGATGATTCCGGTGATTGCTGGGCTTTCGATGATCGCCAGTCTTACGATCAATTCTATAATTACGATGACAGTGATGATAACGATGATGACTGTGATTACTATAATGATGATAACGATGATGATTATGATGATCATAACGATGATGATTATAACGATGATCATGACGATAATCAAGAAGATGATGATCGAGAGGATGAAAATCAAGAGGAGGAAGATCAAGAGGATGATGATCAAGAAGATAATGATCATGAAGATGAGTATGATGATGATTACCCTGATTACGATCATAACGATAATTACCCTGATAATGATGATAATCTTGTTTACGAAAATTACGATGAATATGATGATTATCTTGATTACGATCATAACGATAATTATCCTGATTACGATGATTATCTTGTTTACGAAAATTACGATGAATATGATGATTACCCTGATTACGAAGATAACGATAATTACCCTGATAATGGTGATAATCTTGTTCACGTAAATTACGATGAATATGATGATTATCCTGATTACGAAGATTATGATGATTACCCTGATTATGATGATTACAATGATTACCTTGTTCTTGAAGATTACAATGATTATACTGATTATTAGCATGATTAAGATGATTACGTTGATTATGTTAATTACTACTTTTATTAATGTTATTCAGTTGTTTTTTTGTTATGTATTTAATAACTTTGGGAAACCCAATTACTTTTAAACTTTTTTTAACTTAATTTTTAATTCGTACGTTAAGTTAGAATATATATTTCTTAGGCCTAAACCTTCTTTTTTGAGCATGGGTAAATGTTCTGTAAAACAATTTTCAGATCCTTTTTTATTCAATATTTTAATTTTTTTTGTTCCTTTTTTATTTTTTTTTTTTTTTTAGGATAACTAGGATATTTTACAATTTATTTTACTTTTCCAACCTAATTCACAAATCATTTTTAAATTTACCTACTTGTAAATCCGTGAACATCAAAAAGTCATTTTTAAATACTTAAATCTTCAAAATTAATTACGTGTTTTTCTTTTCAATAAAATATTGACGAATATTTAATTTGTTAGGTAGTCATTTGATGAAACATAAACTCATTTGTTTAAATGTTTCTAATTACAGAAACATTTTAAAGTGTGACTGAAAAATCACGACATAGTCCAACTCAACTTTTTCTATTTTTTAAAGATTTACAGGTCGGTAACTATTTGAAGATGTGATTAAGAATATATGTAAATATGTATAATATAAAGTATAAATGTTAATAAATATAATAGACGATTTAAGCAGTTTTTTTTGGATTAATATTTAAGTATATAAGGTGTACACATGAGGAGCTGGTGGGAAGAATGATTAATTAACAATACCCCATATTATTTCAATTGGATTAAATGTAAAATGATATGAAGGTGAATGAATAACTATGTTACCATATTGTTTTGCAAGTTGGTCTACTTTATAAATTTTTAGTGATTTATTTCTGAAAAATGTGTTCAATAAATCTTGTTTGTAGATATTCTGAGTAAATTGAATGTTATGTGTCGTCAGCCAATCCGGAATTTTAGGTTTTGTTTAGGAATTTTTGGGCGTTTTAAAAAGTAACGTGCTGTGATAGAAAGCATTGTCCATAATAATCATTGAAGGTTTAGTTAAATTCATAAGTAATCAATTCTTGGACCATTTTAAAGAAATTGTTTCATTTATTTCCCCATGATAGGATTGTTACTATTTGATGAAAACACCAGTTCTGACCCATTATTAAATCCGTTTTCGTTACCAGCATGAAGAACAATGAATCTTGTTCCATCAACTCGTAGTATTTGTGCTCCTTTTATCGTTATTTTGTCAAGAGCGATTTACTGTGCCATTTTGAAAAAGTCATGTTTCATCCAGATAAACAAATTTATATAAAAACAGTTTTTTTGTACATGTGTATAACTTTAGAAAACTAAATCTTTTACTGGTAACATAGGGAAGTTCCATAAGACTCCGCTGAGGATCACCTTTCTTTCATTTAAATCCTATATTGGGTAATACTGTATTTTAATATTTTGGGTGGATTATTTAAATAAACTTCAATTTACCTTTTTTTAGTTTTATTTACCATACCATTAATACAACATTTTTATTTCAGTTGACAGATAAAATATATTACAAAACCTTAAAACTACTAAAAAATGGTATTAAAATTTTGTCCGATAATAATACATAGGCGTAGAACTTGATTTTTTAAATAATTGCACCTTTAAAAATTCTACGCCAATGGAAGAAAAGGAGTTTGAGTATGAAATTTAGATTGCGCCACTCATTTACTTTAAAAAAAGTACTCTTGATAAGATTCGATTACTCTCATGGTTTTCGCTAAATTTCTGTTTTAATAATTTAGAGTGTATAGGTTTCACAAAAATATTAATTTACAACATAATCAAAATAGAGATTTTACAAAAATTGTTCAAAATGTTCACCATTTTCACGCATACAAAGATTTATACGTCGAAGAAAATTAAAATGTATCCTTTCCATAACTTCGTCATCACCTCTAAGATTGTTTATTGCATCTTGAATACTTTGCCAGAGTTGTTCCTCATTTTCTACAGGTTCCCTGTAAACTGTGGATTTCAGATGTCCCCATAAAAAGTAATCCATCGGTGTTAGGTCTGGAGAACGTGGTGGCCAGTTTACAGGTGCTTCATTACCTCTGCCTATCCATTTGTGTGGATATTGTTTATTCAAGTGGTTTCTAACGTTTAAAGAAAAATGTGGTGGAGCTTTATCTTGCATAAACCACATATCTCTCCGAAGTTGGAGAGGTAAATCTTCTAACAATTCTGGCAACGTATTTTGTAGAAAATCCAAATAATTTTCTCCAGTTAATCTTCGTGGAAGTATGACAGGACCAACAATGAAATTACAAATTATTCCAGCCCACACATTAATTTTGAATTCTTGCTGAACATGGTTTACCTTTATTGCATGCGGATTTTCAACGGCATAAACATGTTCATTATGGGTATTAGTTAGACCTCTTCTTGTAAAACCCGCTTCATCGGTAAAGAGAACCTTCTTGACAAAGTTTGGATCTCTTTCTCTTTGCATATTAACAAATCGACAAAAACCCAAACGAATTTGAGGATCATGGACTAATAATTCTTGTACTGGCTTCTTCTGGTATGGATATAGCAATTGTTCTCTAAGCACTTTATGAACGACATCTTTACTTACTCCTAGTTACCTTCCAATTCGTATGTTGCTTAATTCTGGATCTTCTTCAACAAGTTCTAAAATGTCTTCTTCAACTTCAGGAATCCTTACAAAACGTTCTCTTCCATTATCAACAGTGTTGGGAGCAAAGGAACCGGTCTCCCGAAGACGTCTCTCAACAGCAGCAAAAGTTGAATAGCTAGGTACACGGCGATTTGGAAACCTTTTAGAGTACACCCTGACACTCTCGAGCATTTCCTTCACAAAATCCTAATGTCAGTAACATATCGGTATATTCTGCATTGGTATATTGTAGAGCCATATTAATAAACCACGCATTTGTTTTTTTAATTATTGAGTCAGATAGAACACTTTCAATCGTTAACAAGAGATTAGGTGTTAAAACTTGACAATATTTTTATTTAGATGAAACTATGGAAACCAACAATAAATGTTTTTGTATACGTATTGCAGGCAAATAATTAATATTCCTCAAAAAATCTTACATGGCAAGAATCGAGTATTTTTGTTAAAAGTCTTGATTAGAGGTGTGGAAGAATATATGAAAAAAGTACATTTTTATGTTTTTCATGGTATAAAATTTTGTCCGATAATAATACATAGGCTTGGAACTTGATTTTTTAAATAATTGCACCTTTAAAAATTCTACGCCAATGGCAGAAAAGGGGTTTGAGTATGAAATTTGGATTGGGTACTCATTTACTACAAAAAAGTACCCTTGATAACACTCGATTTACTCTCATGGTTTTGACAAAGTTTATATTTTAATAATTATTGTTTATGTTCTAAAATTACAAAAATGCAAATTTCGTCAAAACCATGAGAGTAACCTTTTTTAAAGTAAATGAGTTGCGCAATCTAAATTTCATACTTAAACTCCTTTTCTTCCATTGGCGTAGAATTTTTAAAGGTGCAATTATTTAAAAAATCAAGTTCTACGCCTATGTATTATTATCGGACAAAATTTTAATACCATTTTTTTGCCACATAAAACTTTACCAATATACCAAACTTTAGCAAAATCGCATATGCCGTTTTAAATTTATATGGGAAAAACGATTTAAAAATTGTAATTTCAAGGCCCTCTGGAGCCCAAACAAAGCAACTTTGTACTAAGGTAATTTTACTTAAATCGGCTTACTTTGGTCTAAGAATATGTGGTATGTTTTTGTAAAGACCTTTTACAGACACCCTGTATAATTATCTTTAAACATTTATCTTTGCCTTAAAGTTTCATATAATTTAGCAAGAGTTATTTGTTATTTCTTTTTATACATACTGTAAATGATATCACGAATGTAGTCAGAATTAAATATTTCGGTTACAGGTTTGGCATGTGGTCGCCATTTTAGAGGAGAATTTAAAATATTCTTTAATGCCTAGGAAATTATACAGTTATATTCACATTTATAGATTTTTGAACCCTCAGATTTTTTTCTATAATTTAAGCTGAAACCTGTCTCTTCACTTGTCATTAACTTTCATCTTAACATTAAAAATTTCCAATAAGTCAATGTGAATAACGATTTAAACAATTTAATGTAGGTATACCTAATAGTGAAATTTATAGCTCTTGAAAAATATGCTCATTAATACATATTTAAAAAAATATATTTTTAAATTATAATTTTATGTACCCCGTAAAAATAATATAGGCACCCACACTTGACATTTTTTGATCTGACAGATCTATTACTCCGGCTCAATTGCGATTTTACTATAGAATATGAATTGAAGATAAAAGTTTTCTACATTTTATTTAAAACATTTTTTCATGCCTTTATTACCAATGAAAACACTGAAAAAAATAAAATTTTGCACTTTTTTTCAAATTTCTTCATTACGGTCAATTTTAAAGAAATAATGTTTATTACAAAAATTATAGAGAATGACGTCAAAATAACTTCTATTCAAAGAATTTTCTTCTCTAATCATAAATAACAAAAATATACCTTAAAGTCGAAATAGGAGAGTTCTTGTTCTAATAATAAAATATTGATTCTAGATATGATACTTGGAACGAACAATTTTATGAAATGTGCGATCAAGTCGATAAAGTATGCGAAAATCGAATGGGTCTTATCCAAAGAGTCGACAAAGTTTTGGACGACACAACAAAAGCGTTCGAAGAAAATTTCCGCGCAAAAAAAGCAAAACTACTTCGTTCCGTTAACATATCCAGACAAGAATTAGAAAATTTGAAAGGGGCAATATTATTAAACAGCGAAAAATACGAATACAACTTCCAAATTCTCGAAAGACGTTGCGAGGAAAGTACGATCCTACGGGCTGAACGAAAACGCAAACTCACCCAATTACAAGATGACATTTTTAATCTAAAATCTACCATTCTCAATTTCAAAACCACTACCGTAAATCAAATTAAAAAATACGAACACGATATTAAAACCTCACAAAAAGAAATAATGGACATTGAAAACAAAGCGCAACGCATAGCTACAATAAATGACAAACTTTTTAAAGAAATCTGGGATATGAGTTCGAAAAACTGCAACAAACTGTGGGATAAAATCATGAAAATCGATAAAATCATTCACGAACAACTACTGGGGAAAGAATGGTCACATTTAGGAAACGTATCACTTGATATTTCAACGTTACCTAGTTTTAAAACGGGACAATCTGTAATGGCGGCTTTGTCGCTAAAACCCCTTCATGCAGTTGCTAGCAAACTGCCGATTCTAACTGGAGATTTTCAAATTACACCTTCCACAACTAAGGTGTTGCAGTCTAACGACGTCTATAGAAGTTTGATGAAAAAAATCCTAATAGTGACTTCAGATAAAACTGGTTTTTTAACTGAAAAAAGAATCAAAGAATTATTAGGTACACATTCAGAAAACGATAAAAATTTAGTTAGATTAGAACATATATTGAATTCGATGAATTTAGATAAGGAAGAGGATTTAAACTTACTGTTAGAGTATTTTTTACCTTATTGCTACTGTTTAAATTGCACAACAGACGATGGCGGTCAAGAAGCATCCTTGGTTCTGTCCACCCGTTATTCTTTTGCACCTTCTACGCAGGAATACGACGTACCGATGGAGCACATCCAATTACTAGAGGCGATGTATCACACGACTCATTCGAGGCAGTCTATTGAAGAAGCTGTCATAGAAGTTGTTACTTCGGAGGTGAACTTAGAAGAATGTTTCGAACCTTCCATAGAATCATTGGACGTTGCCAAAACCGATATGGCTAGTTTGCCGCAAGCGAAAATATCCAAAATTAAAAAGAATCCTTTGATTTTGCTTAAAGAGAAATTGGCGTGCCAGTATAGTCATTCTCTAGTTATAAGTGGTGTGTTCGTGGTGAAGGCTTTGAGGGATTTCATTGAGAATTATTTCAGTCGATTTCAAACTGTACCTACAACCGGTAAGTAAAACAGGGATGTTTTATGTAATTTTTTTCGTATTAGAATATATAGCAGGAATTTCCAAACTATTTTGGATAAGAAACCATTTCTCCAAAATGAACTGATACCTATTGATACAAAATACGAAGGTCGGTTTATTGCCTACATTTGTTATATCTAAATTATTTGCCATAATAAATTGTAGTAACGACTCACCTCTTTCGTTGGTATCGGTACTCCCCCAGATCCTGTGGTGTGCGTTTGCATCACAGCCAATGACCATCTGCATTCCGTTGCGCCTGCAGAATCTCATCAGCTGCTCCACTTATCTGGTAGGTGTTGCTTCAGGATCGTCTGAAGGTAGATATGCCGATCCGAGTATTACCTCCTTCGGTCCATTTCCTGCATCGATCTTGATTCTGATTGCTGTCAAATCTCTGGAACAGAAGTTAGTTAACGGCAGTATTTTTATGCCTTTTTTGACAATTAGGCAGGTTCGAGGAGTGTCTGTGGATCTGTCATATATTAACTCTCTACCCAACCCTCCTAAACTTCTCATTGTACCGTGTCTAATCCACGGTTCTTGTACCAGGGCCACTTCAAACCTCCTCATCGCCACTCTTAGTACAGTGCTGGAGGTTGATCTGAATTATCCTGATCCTCGCCAGGCCACCTTAGGACCCTGAAGGTCACCTTTCCTAGCTTATAATAGGCCCGGAATTGTGACCTTTCGAGGGCCCCGTACAACGCTTCGTCAATTGAAAAGGCTAGGAGTTGCCCTCCCTTTTCAATTTTCCTGCTCATTAAAAGCCAGTCCGGTGTCTTCAGTTCGGTATTCTGGAGCTTAAGAAGTCCCCTGGCTTTTTCAACCTCGAACTCGTCCGGAATGAAAACCAGAACCCTGGGTCTTCTCGGGAGGTCCTTATATAAAACCACGGTCAACTCCGCGCCCTCCCAAAGGTTTCCCAGAGTGCCAACCGTCCTCCTTAACCAGTCCGCGGTCTGCTGGTTGGCGCAGGTCATTGAAATGACCCCTGCACTAAACGATGTTTTAAGGAACTGTGGTGCTCCTCCACTGCCTGAAGGGACAGCGTAGAGCCTTTCCACAAGAGTTTCTTGTATCAAGTATCCTTGTGCTTGGTCTAGGGTTGTATCTGGGTGCCTTCTCTAGATGACAGCTAGTCGGATACCCCTCAAAGTGTCGCTGTACGAGCCAGCGGATGCCGGAGCATTTCTGGCTCGCTTAGTTCCACTTCGAGTGGGGGGAGTCTGCGACTCAGATTGGGGCCTTTTATCTTCTTTCTTCGTTTGGTCCCCTCTCCGTTGGGTTCATTTTTGGGCTGCATTCTTGTGGTAATTTTCCTCCGTCTACGTTCCTGCAGCCATTTGCCTTTTCTTCAGAAGCTTATTCCTCTCCGCTCCTAAAGGTTTTTTCGGTCTTTCAGCAGGCTTAACCTTTGCTTTTTTTTTTTTTCGTTTCTTTTGTTTGGGAGCAGTCGTCTGTTTTGACAGATCCTTCTCCCGCTAAGAGGTTAAAGTCCTCTGCTTTCGCAGTTCCTCCTTCCCTTGAGTTGTCGGAGTCCAAAGAGAGACTGCGTTACTCTCCGACAGTCATGTTTAAGGTAGGCTGTGTCGTTGGCGACCACTGATCTAGAATTATCTATAGTATCTACATAAGAAAGAATATTAAGCAGTTTGAACGATAGGGAACAAGTTAAAATATATTTTCCATTTAAATACTCTTAATAATTGTCATGTTGAATTCGCCTGCAGTCTTCGACTATAATTTTTCTTAAATTTTACACCATATTTCCTATGTTAAATTGTTATAGGTGAACGATTGAGAAGAAGAAGATTCACAATTTCTCGTCTTCTAAATGACGACGAAATTAGAGACTGCTGGAAAAATTGGTTAAATAACTATGGAGAAAATTCGGATTATTATTTTGTGTGGAAAGGATTAGTATTCGGTTTGCAATATTATTTGGACGTCTTACAAAAGCGGAAAATACTTTCCGAAGAAGTACTTAGCCTTCGAAAGCAAAACCAACGTTTAAAAAATTCCTTAGAATCATATAGAAGTAATCATAGGTTTTTGCCGCCAATATGTGCCACTGTGAAGCAGCCTCTCTTCATCTATCAGAGACGTATTCGATAGATATAAATGCAGATAAAACTGAGATGTTTATTCATCGAAATGATTGATTTCATTCGAACACTGGATGGCTTAGTTCATAATGACATACGTACTAATTAAGTGGTCTTTATTTTATACGTGATATGTATTTAGAAATATGTGTTTTATAATATTAAATCTGTAGAGTCAATGATCTTTTTTATTACATGACACAAATAATATATAAGAAAAATTCAAACCATCTAATATGTTCTTGTTATTTTATCTATTTTTATAGTGTTCTAAGCTCTATGATTTTGGGGAGTGGGTCAGGTTATTAAACAACTCGTATTACTTCGAAAAAGAATGTTGAGCGCAACTAAACTTTCTAAACTTGACAATCGATTAGTGATGAAAATATAGAAAATCACTAACCATTAAGATATTATAATTAAATAAGGTTTCAGATAAGGCAGCGACAAATTCTAATTCACAAAGACTTACTTATTCAAATTTAAATGATTTATTATAGACTTATCTGTGGTATAACAGATAGTATTTCAGGAGTGACTGTAGAGGCCTTCTTCTGGAGGATTCATATGAGATACTTCGGATATCACCAACTCTTCAAGTATAAATCTTCCTAGGTAAACTTAAATCTCATAAATTTCTTAGATGACTCGAACTAAACCTCTTGATCTACTGGAAATCAACTTCTGTAGCTGGAACTAATCTTCTAAGTTTCAATACTTCTACACATGCAGTTTGAACGTTCTTCCAAACAATCTTTTTCGATAAAACTTCTTTGTATGTATTGGTATTTGTATGGTATTTGTATGTAGAGCACCAAGTAATTAGCTCAGGTCTCTCAGACCACGAAGCAGTATTTGTCAAATTTTTGATACCCCGTACAGCTCCAAAAAAAGTCCGTCAGCTAGGTAAAATTTTCTCTAAGCATAATTTCAAAAATTTCTATAATTTATGTCAAACTACTGATTGGAATGGTCTTTCTGAAAATATTGACTCTAAATTTTTAGACTTCTTAAATAAAATAATTATGTGTTTCAATACAGCTTTCCCCCTTCGCCCCATTAAAACTAAATGTCATAAATCTTGGACAACTAAAGGAATAAGAACATCATCTAAAAATATGAGGTCACTCATGTATATTAAAAAGTACACAGATAATCCCCTAATATTAAACTATATCAACAACTACAGAATATTGTATCTGAAAATCACCAAATCTGCTAAGAAAAACTATTACAAAAATCGCATCGCAAGAGCTAAAAACTCCTCCAAAGAAACCTGGTCTATAATAAATGACTTAAGGAATAAAACCCGTTCTTCAAACAGTGTAAATCCTAGCCCAGATGAACGAAACAATTATTTCGTAAATGTAAGTAAAAATATCAAATCTAACATAGCTCCGAGTCAGGATGCTCTCTCCTTCCTCCTACCTACTAAAAGGATCACTGAAAGTTTCTTCCTAAGACCAGTAGACAAGCATGAACTAGTGCAAACCATAAACAACATCCAAAATAAATTTTCCTGTGGAATTGATGGCCTGTCCACCAAAATATTTCTAAATATACCGGATGTAGTAATCAACATTTTAACTTCACTGATTAATGAATCCTTTGAAATTGGTCTCTTTCCTAACTGTCTAAAAACAGCTATAATAATCCCACTTCATAAAGGTGGCGACAAAACCAAAACCTGTAACTATAGACCTATCGCGTTATTGCCTACCTTATCGAAGATAGTAGAACGGCTAATGAAAAACCGTCTTTTGCCCTTTCTTTTCAAGCATAACATCCTCACAGCTCATCAGTATGGCTTTCTACCTAAAAAATGCACTAGCGACGCAATGTTTTCCGTTCTTAATGAAATATACACATCACTTAATGATAAACTTTTCACCGCTTCAGTATTTTGTGACTTCGCAAAGGCCTTCGATTGTGTAAATCATGATATTTTAATTAATAAGTTACAAATTTATGGCATACGGGGTTCTCCTTTACAATGGTTTAAAACTTACCTAGAAAATAGAAATCAACAGGTGCGGGCGAATGGTGAGGATTCTACAAATCTAGCAATAAGCAGTGGAGTACCTCAAGGATCAGTATTAGGTCCAATTTTGTTTTTATTATTCATCAACGACATCACAGACTTAAGAATAAGTGGTAGAATTACTTTATTTGCTGATGACACCAGTGTAACCTGGAATAATTCTAACATGCAGACATTACAATCTATCATAAGTGAAGATCTAGTGACTATTAAGTCCTGGTCTGATTCGAATGGACTTTGTTTCAACACCAGTAAAACTGTAGCATTGTCTTACAGAGGTACTTTACAACCTATAACTTTAAACAATAATCTGATCCAAACGGTGACTTCAATCAAGTTTTTAGGTCTTTATATAGACGATTCTCTAAAATGGTCTGCTCATATAGATACCTTAGCAAAAAAATTATCCTCCGCATGTTTTGCCATTAAATCGGTTTCTAAAGAGCTGACTCCTTCTACTGCATTAATAACCTACTTTTCCTTATTCGAATCTCACCTTCGCTATGGTTTACCTTTCTGGGGTTCTTGTAGCTTATACCTTTTCGAATCTATTTTTAAACTGCAAAAAAGAGCAATCCGCTATGTATTTGGTTTAAGTAGTAGGACACATTGCGAAAATTACTTCAAAAATTTCAAAATTCTAACCCTTCCTGCTCTATTTATTTTCCAATCCGTCTGCTTATTTCGCAAGCACATTCAAAATTTATCCGAAAGACCGACTCGTAGATATCCTACAAGAAATTTAGAGACTGATGTTTATTTAACAATGCCCACTTCTGACCTATTAAAACATTCGATTACCTACAATGCCAAAAAATTGTATAATAACCTTCCGATGCAATTAAAATCTATAAATACATACGATAAGTTCCGAAGACTGGCTAAAGCTTTTCTTCTAGAAAGACCATATTACACATTAGCAGAATTTTATAACGTACCTTAGACATTTGAGTTCCACATACAATGGCATTAATTAAATAATTAAATATTAAAGTTTAAATTTAAATTTAAAAATTAAATTAGAATAATTATAATGACGGATATTACATATCCATTGCAATTGTTATTCCTATTTTGTCTGTTTGTTTCTGTTTGTTTTTTCTGCTGTTTAGTTATTTTTATAATATGTTTAGTATTTAAGTTACACGCTTTGTCTATAAAATTTTTGTAAATTTTTTTACGACAATAAAGCATATCTCTCTCTCTATACATATGAAGATTACTTCAAGAAGTAGTGTACAGGGTGTTATTAAAACATATTTTGAAAAAAATATCAATAGTTTAAACAAGTAATTAAATTTTGAAAATATATGTTAAATCATGTGATTGATCTGCTGTTCAACAGTAAACCACTATTTTTTATCGCTGTTGTATCCTATTGAAGTTAAATTATTGAAATTATGTCTTATGTAAAATATATATTATCTTTTGGTAATCGATTGTTTCATGGGTATACAACTTCAGTGAAACTGGTGACCAGAAATATTGAAATGTACACAAAATGCATGTTGAGTAAGCACTCTTTCGACTGTGCCTCCCCCCCTCTCTTTTACGAGCAACCATTGCTTTAGGGCGCCAAATTCAAATAAGCAAGTTGCTCTGTCCCACCATGTTCATAACTTTCTTATTGTTTAAAAAAACATATTAAAATTGCTGACACGTATGATTCTACAAACCATGTAACTTTTGGCACCCTCATAGCATTTCTTTTTTGATTAACATTTGAAAAAATAGAAACGCCTCGGTCAATCTCACCTCTACGTGTGAGGTGAGGTTGACCGCCTTCCTAAAATTCTAGTAATTTTCTATAACTAAACCATTGACCATAGAAAAACATACAGGGTGTCTGTAAAAGGTCTTTACAGTTAGAGTTTTATGTGGCAAAAAAAATGGTATTAAAATTTTGTCCGATAATAATACATAGGCGTAGAACTTGATTTTTTAAATAATTGCACCTTTAAAAATTCTATGCCAATGGAAGAAAAGGAGTTTGAGTATGAAATTTAGATTGCGCAACTCATTTACTTTAAAAAAGGTACTCTTGATAAGACTCGATAATTCTCATGGTTTTCGCTAAATTTCTGTTTTAATAATTTAAAGTGTATAAGTTTCACAAAAATATTTATTTACAACATAATCAAAATAGAGATTTTACAAAAATTGTTCAAAATGTTCACCATTTTCACGCATACAAAGATTTATACGTCGAAGAAAATTAAAATGTATCCTTGCCATAACTTCTTCATCACCTCTAAGATTGTTTATTGCATCTTGAATAAGTTGCCAGAGTTGTTCCTCATTTTCTACAGGTTCCCTGTAAACTGTGGATTTCGGATGTCCCCATAAAAAGTAATCCATCGGTGTTAGGTCTGGGGAACGTGGTGGCCAGTTTACAGGTGCGTTATTACCTCTGCCTATCCATTTGTGTGGATATTGTTCATTCAAGTGGTTTCTAACGTTTAAAGAAAAATGTGGTGGAGCTCCATCTTGCATAAACCACATATCTTTCCAAAGTTGGAGAGGTAAATCTTCTAACAATTCTGGCAACGTATTTTGTAGAAAATCCAAATAATTTTCTCCAGTTAATCTTCGTGGAAGTATGACAGGACCAACAATGAAATTACCAATTATTCCAGCCCACACATTAATTTATATTCGTGCTGAAAATGGTTTATCTTTATTGCATGCGGATTTTCAACGGCATAAACATGTTCATTATGGGTATTAGTTATATCTCTTCTTGTAAAACCCGCTTCATCGGTAAAGAGAACCTTCTTGATAAAGTTTGGATCTCTTTCTCTTTGCATATTAACAAATCGACAAAAACCCAAACGAATTTGAGGATCATGGACTAATAATTCTTGTACTGGCTTCTTATGGTATGGATATAGCAATTGTTATCCAAGCACTTTATAACCGACATCTTTACTTACTCCTAGTTCCCTTTCAATTCGTCTGGTACTTAATTCTGGATCTTCTTCAACACGTTCTAAAATATCTTCTTCAACTTCAGGAATCCTTACAAAACGTTCTCTTTCATTATCAACAGTGTTGGGAGCAAAGGAACCGGTCTCCCGAAGACGTCTTTCAACAGCAGCAAAAGTTGGGTGGCTAGGTACACGACGAGTTGGAAACCTTTCAGAGTACACC